AAAAAGACCTCGTTAAAAAACTGGCATCCTAACGTGACTGAAATGACTTGAGATAAGGCTACATTATAATCACGATTACAACTCTATTTAATGCAGGTTTGCGAGTTGTTATCAACGTTTCGCAAATTTCCAAATTTTGCATGAAATACCGACCGTATTGTACCATAGATTCTATAACTTCGTCGTCTACCAAAATCAAATATCTCTTGTTCGACGACCAACATCAATCCAATCCACCTATGGCACTAGCCTCCCACTTAACACATAAATATCCTAGGCAAAATGGGCATCAGCATCAATGATAATAAAAATAAAGCAGCAATCAATCCCCAAACAGCCATTTCTGGCTACTTAACCGTCATCAGCCAGTCATTAAAAAGTGGCGCTCCACCCGAGGCTATTTGTCTAAACTACTAGTCACGGTGCGGCTGCTGGTAGGGCTCGAGAATGAGCCCCAGCGCAGAGCGGGACGAGTGAGTTTCATTGGCTATCAGTGAACGTTCATCAACGAAGCCCCAAACAATTTGAAAAATCAGGCGAGGTGTCCTAGAGATACAAAGCCCGATGCCACTTTATGTGGAGAGTCAAAATAAATAAGAATGGGTAAAATGCTATTTGCATGCCGGACACCGACGGGATAGTCTTAAGTATACTGAAAAAAGTGGGAAATAGCGGTAGCACAAACGTCTATGGGTCGCTGTAAGCCACATCATCCGCAGGAGGTATGTCCGAACGAAATGATTTCAGCCAAAGACATGCGGCCGTGGAGCTGTTTAGCCTTCAACCGTCTAAGTTTAGTTTACTTAAGCGAAGTCCATTGAAATTCCTTGATGAAGGTTACCTTACATGAGACTTATTGTGAAAATAGTCGTCATAATGTAAAAGAGGAGATTTTCGACTTTTCTGCCTCAGTCTAGTTGCATATTAACTTCAATATCCCAGTAACGGTTTTGGAAGGCGTCAAAAATAATGAAGGGCTTTAAAGGATTATAAAGTGACAGGCAGGTTCGGGAAACACGCGTCGCCTGCTATGCTTTTTATGTTATGTGCTCAATGCACTCCAGGGCAAAAACCGCTCTGAGACCGATGCACCATAAGGACTGTCGAAAAGGCTAGAGTATCGATATAATTGGCAAAGTTAAAGGCGGCTAGGCAAAAGCTAAGAAACAAGAAAAGCAACCTTTTTACCACTGAAATCGTAAAACAAATAGTACAGCTACCCTTACGATGGCAGGTGTCTCCTCACAAGGCTTTAAGGGTTCTTCGAGCACTGGTGGGCTGAGAATGTTGCATTCGCCTGCAGGTAGTTCTCCGTAAAAAGCAGACGAGGCAGAGCAGACAGGGGTCTTGCCTCTATGTCGATGCCTGTTAACCGAACGTAGGCGGTGGGCAGCCTCGGCCGCCTGTCCGGCTCGCAGCAGAAGCACACGAATGGCCTTGAAGTGGAGGGCCCAGCAGAACAGATTACTTTAATGGTACCCTGCATTAGGTCTATGTCGAGTGCCAAAAAACATTTTTTTAAAAACAATCGAATTTCCTAAATGCGACTTT